TGCAGGTACATGCAACTGACGAGTCACAAATGGGACGAATATGCATAAAATCTTTTACAAAAACAGAACATCTTAATTATAACATACCTATGTAGAAATTTTTAACAACATGTATATTCATTAGAGCTGAATGATCATAATATTCAACCGATAATCTTTAAAATAATTATTTAATATAAATAAGAAGGGGTTTTGTGGAGATTTCAGTATTTTCATATTTGAAATCATGAGTCCATCGGTTAAGCGCTCTGGCGCGAGACTGGTTGGTCCTGGGTTCGAGTCTCGCGAGTGCGGGGTCGCGGATACTCACTGCTGAGGGGTCCTATAATAGGACGAAACGGCCATCCAGTGCTTCCAGGTTTCCCATGGTGGTCTAGCTTCAATTGACTCATGATTTAAACTATGAAAATTATTAAATAGTTTTAAGTCCGAGTTTTATTTCTTTTTTATGAAGTTATAATTTAAAAATAACTTTATCTTGTTCTGATAATGATCTCTTTTTATTAAGCTATTTATTAAATAACATTTGGTTGCCTATCGATGATTTATTTAAAATGGGTTTCTTTAAAATTTTTAAAAGAGTTCTTTGACATATGTATTGAATTGGTTCGGTTTATAAATAACATTCAATCAGCTCCATGTACCTCTATACACACTGGTAACTAGTTTCGTGAGGTAGTTTTGGAATTCTAATGAGAAGTGGTCACTAGTGAAGTTCAAATGTGTGGGGTGTGAAGCAATCATTTAACAAAAACTATATAAGAGTGTCTCAGAATGTTGTGATTTGATTGAAGTTAGACATATACATCGTTAGATTTCTGCTCAGTATCCTAGAGAATAAGGGTTTAAGCAAAAGACTTAAAGTTTAAGTTCAGATCTCAATTGATGGAGTCTGGGGTGCACACTTCTGAGAAATTCCACACTTGGACGAAACAGCTATCTTGTGTATCCTGATTTTCAGTGAATTTCTGAATTGAGTCGATTCTACTAGTCTACTGGTCTTCATACTAGGAAAGTGAGATCCAAGGGTTCAAAAAATTAACTCCACTCAGCTTGTGAGTAATCATGGTTCTCATTAGATTTTATCAGTGGGTTGATGTTACAGTCCTTTATGTGACTTTTTGCTTAATTCACATAATTGTAAACTATATCCAGCTAACTAATACAACTGTTAATTAGTTTTAATATATTTTCATTAAAATCTTAGACAGAAAAAAAACACAATAAGGTTTTCAGAATAAAATGAATGTAAGATTACAATTAATAATACAATGATTAACAAATGTTTAATACACTTAAGTTTGTAGAGTTTAGATAAACCGAAATCATTATGCTAAGAAGAATAAGAAAATTTCCTTTGATCAGATCGAAAACGTTAAAAATACCTATCTTCATCCGACTTCCGTTCAAAAGAGATGAGATTTCAGGAACAATTTAGGTGGCACTCGAAAGAGACTTCCCTGCTGCTTAACTGGCTTTACTATAAAGCACCAAGTGTTCGTTAAACCATTCAAAGGTAGAATAATACCATTTCCACATTACTTTCAAATGTATCTATGGATTGACGTGTACCTATGGTAGCAAGTCAATTGAAAGGACAGAAAGAAGTGCCTCAACCAGTTTTTCTGAATACATTCCTAGGAACCTAAGGCTAAGAGGGAGTATCATCTGTACAAATACTGTTACCAGACACCTTAAGCATAGTACACATGAAGTGAGTGTAAGTCGTGGATTTAAAATAAATAACAGACGACAAATATTAATCTTACTCTTTTAGAGACAACCGCTATCAAACGTTTATTCTCCTGACCTATGCATACAGAAGGAAAGTGTGTTTAGCCTTTCTTTGCCATGATGATTGTAATAAACTTTCATCTCATATACCTACTGGCTGATCGCTTCATCTATAAACGTTGAATAGGTTGAATATATTTTTAAAGATCAGTATTTCTAGAATATATTTGATTAGTATTATCACAATGCTTCCATCTTTTAATTAATTCTATAATAATTTAAGGTTTATACAAATATCCTACCATCTTTTAAAGTTTTTAATAGTAATGTAATTTTAAGACCACCCATTATGTAATAAGCTAAAATAATGAGTAACTTAGCTCCCTATTGTTACCAAAACATTTGCATGATTATGTGGGTTAACAAATAAGAGAACGTTTGTATATAGTTTAATAGTTGACATATTTTATGGATAATTCATGTGGTGCAATAAACTCATTAAACTGCAAACACTTTATTAAAACAATGATTTATTATGATCTAAGAAATAATGAAGTAAACGTCAATTATTAATTACATTTAGTGAATAGTTGATAACTAGGAATGAGTAAAATAAAATAATTAAATTTCAACAAGATTCAAAATAGTAAATGTTTAAGCATAGAAATGTCACTTTTCAGTTCAGTAAATCTAAATACGCCCCTAAATGCCCTGGTACGGCCGAGAGTGGAGAGAGTCCACTCTTCCTCTCCAAATTCTCTAACATCGTCACGCTTACATAGCCTCTGACAGGGAAGTCCTACTCAATGCCTTCTCGTGGCATCACTGTTGTTTACGAAATTGAGAGAACGAAAAGTGAATGTCTGGTGCTCTAACCGGTTTGGTGGACACAGCGAGTCCACCTAGGGGAGTTGGAAAACCCTGATTCCAAATCAATGGTGCACATGGGCTTCAGTATCTTGAGGGAACAAATGGCGTGTGAATCAATCGTTGGTCACCGGCTTCCATGGGACTGCATCTCCTTAAGATGCTCCACTGCCTTGTGGATCATATCTTTAAGTCAAAAGCTCCGGTTGTGACCCCCTAGGAAAACCACGTGCTTCAGTTTGGGCACATGGGCAGTATCACATCCCTCACACAAATCGAATGAGATTTGTGCGGTGCATATGTATTTGGTGCTTCCTTGTACCAATATTTATGTGTTTAAATAAATAAATAAATAATCTAAATACAATGAATATCAATGGCATGACTTAAATGTTAAGTAAGTTCAATGTAAACACCAAGCAATAATTCACCAAACATCCTTTTTTGTTAATGAGGAGAAAGATATAGCATAGATGTTCTTTCTCATAGTTCCAATCACCAATTTATCCTATCTAGACATCAAATGAATACTTGGAAGTACTGACGCAGTTGCTTCGTCCTGATATGGACTTTTTAGTAGTGATTATCAACGAATCTTTGTTCAAAAACAGAACCCAGCAATATCGTTATCCCACGCAAGCTTATCCATCTATTGGTGATAATGTCTGTCTTCAACCAATTCATGGTATTGCCCAACCCTCATCCACTACTTACAGTGAGTAATTGTCTCATACTCGACAAGGTTTGATTCCACTCGTAGCACCTCACTACTACTCTTGAAGTTGATTTTTGAAACTAGTTAAGAATGAGTACATTATTATTAGCATAGTGAAATTTGTAGAAAACCTGTTATGTCCCGATAAGAATAGTGTATGGTAACTTTGGGATCGGTTTTTGAACCAATATTATGCATAGATTTTTATCTTATAATTGTTAAATAATTAAACTATTCATATTCATATCTCTCTTATTATGAGCTTTATTTTAACCTATGAACTATTGTTATACGATTTACCATTCTTGAATTATCCCCTGTATTTCATTTACTATCTCCCTTACGGCCACACTTGGTTAAATATTGTACAAATGTTGTTTTCTTATTTTATGGTACGATGTGGTCTGTCTGTTTGGTATATAAACCCAGTTTGCTTGAAACAAATGATTCATACCGCAAAGGTTGAGATTGGTGTTCTGAGCATACTGTCTGGACTAGGCAAAAAACAGGACCGACAAGTACTCTAGTTCTCTTAGTTTTTTATAAGCACATTTAAGTTAATATACTTAACTACAATTTCTGTCGATAATAATAGTGTTATTTAAAAAAATAATCACATTTGTAATCCTAGTAACAACACTCAGCATGCAAGTAAGATGGATCTATGATCCAACTTTGAAAATACATATCTCGAGTTTAAATTGCTTGCACTTATATGTATTGAGCTTTGAAACAATTCGTTTTTATATTCACTTGGTATTGTTTACTTATATATGTATACTGAAACTGTGATAAAGTTGCCATTAAGCCATTTTTATCATTTCTTTAGGATAAATATGAATAAAGGTTAGTAAAATGTCAAAATCATAAAGAAACCGACCCATATTAACAACTTTTACTTCAAGATAGCCTCCAAATGCCCTGGTGCAGTGGAGCATGGGGGGAGTCCGCCCTGGCAAGGAGGGATCATGGATACGCACTGCTGAGGAGTCCCACAATGAAACTAAATGGTCGTCCATCGCTTCCAGGTTTTCCATGGTGGTCTAGCTTCAATTGATTCATGATTTCAACTACCAAAATTACTATAATATCCACAAAACCCCTTCTGATAAAAAAAAATTAATTGTCTTACTAATGGTCTTTCTTTCACCTCAGATCATTTGGTAGACTTATCGCAATAATTAATTCTTGTGAGAAGCCATCATTCTGTTGCTATAACAATTACTCTCTGTTTCCCTTCCTGTTCTCTTCAATCCAATCTTCTGCTGCCAGGCCTTCTACTTTCGATTGCAGCTACATACTACTTATATCTTTCAGCATGAGTAGCATACACCACAATATGACAACGGATATCATAGAAAATGTATATCAACTATCTATAAAATTTATCATTAGTTTATAGTTCAACTACTCTATAGGCTATAATACAGTAAACAAAACATTAACTTATAATTGTGCTATGATGAAACTCCTTAATTATTTAACTCAACCCGTTTTTAATCAGCATGAGCTTGTTATATAATTCTCAACAAATGTAACAAAATAGTCTAACTGATAATTGTTGTGTTCTTTTTTCTATTTACTGAGAGTTTGTTTCTGTAGTAGTAAAGTCAATTCGTTTGGAGTTTTCATTTATCAGTGTCTTATTTTATTTTTCATTTTTCTTTTGTTTTCTGTACTGTAGTTATTGAACAATCACAAATTCGGTGTATTATTGTGCCGAAAAAATCAGTCAACTGAAGAAGAAATGTACAATAATGGTAATTTGCTTCCAAATGTCCTCTTCGTTGTTGTTTATTTTAAAAGTATAGATGTATTCAGTGAACTAATGCTTGATTGTTGTAGTTATAATGATTCATTACTTACTTACGCCAGTTACTCTCAATGGAGCATAAGCCTCCAACAAGTATTCTCTAACCCACACTGTTTTGGGCCTTTCTTTCTAGTTCTATCCAGTTCTTGTTCATGCTTCTCATATCTGTCCCCATTTATTGGCTAAATGTTTTCTGTGGTCTTCCTCTTCTCCTTTGGTCTTCAGGATTCCATGTGAGGGCTTGTCTTGTGACGCAATTGGGTGATTTCCTCAATGTGTGTCCTATCCACTTCAAAAACTTATTCCTGGTTTATTCGTCCGCCGGAATCTTGTTTTGTTGTCTCCCACAGTAGTTTATTGCTGATAGTGTTTGGCCAAAGGATCTGAAGTATTTTGCGTAGACATCTGTTAAAAAAACACTTGTATCTTCTGGATGATGGCTTTCGTATTTCTCCATGTTTCCGCCTGATACAGTAGAACTATCTTCACATTTGTATTAAAAATTCTCACTATGATGAATCATGAACAATATTCTTAATCTTTTGTCTTTCAAGCAAAATAGTCTTTTACTTCGGGCAACAAATTGAAGTGATTTACAGTATATTTTTCTTTGAATTAAGAATTAGAGATTTAATATTTCTGTTAAAAAGAAAGACGAAAATGAGCAATGATAGTGTGATAGAAGCTTATAATTTTTACCACTGGAATATATATTAGACGTAAGAACAAGTTTTTAATGTTCGAGCATTAAAATTCTAACTAAACTCGATATCTAGAAATGGGTCAAAAGTGAGTTATCATAACTAAACGTGGTTCATTCTCTTGCATTAATCAATGTTAGAGCTTGGTTATAGTGTGATGGATAGGGTTCTTTGTACGTAAAAAGTATAAAGTCACTTAGTTGATCAGTGAGATTTATGCATTAAACGAAAATAATGGTTATTTGTCATCTCAACCTTAATGTATGTGCGAAAAATGAAATTTATAGTTTATCTTGTACTGTCATTATAATTGATTCACTATCATTCTTCTCCTAATTTCTTCACGTTATACAAAATCGTCCAAATCTTTTTTTTGTTTTTTTCGATCCATAATCTTCACGAACATTCTTCCATCGCATTTCCAAATTTTCTTTCATTCATTGGTGCTGTTCTAGCTTAGATTAACTTGTGAACTGAACTTTGAAAGTATCACTATTACTATGACTAATTTGCGAATGTGTTTTGTTAATTATCATTAATTTTATTATTTCGTCTACCATAAACATAACATTTAAGAAGTGTTTCTTGCAATCAACTACATCATAATCTTTTTTTGCTCATTTCGTTTTAAAAGAAGGTTATGTGAAGGTTTTAGTTATTTCATATAATTGAAATCATATGCTCACTAATGACTAGCTCAATGAGGTATTTCCTGAAGTTCTAGTGAAAAGCAGTGACCAGTGGAGTTCAACCAGGTCTGTTGTAGGATATCAACTCACTAAAGACATTGGTGAATGGTTGGAGTTAGACATTAACACCGTTCGATGCCGTATCAGTGGTCTAGAGGCTGAATTCTCGCGCGCGAAACTGATATGTCCTTGGTTCGAATCTGGCGAGGCGAGATCATGGATGCACACTGCTGAGGAGTCCCACAATTGGACGAAACGGTCGTCCAGTGCTTCCAGGTTTTCCATGGTGGTCTAGCTTCAATTGACGCATGATTTCAATTATTTCGTTTTTTTTCATAAATTAACGTTGTGTAATTTTTGATTACGATTATAATTATTCCTTATTAGTGAACTAAATGACTTGATACTTTTTAGGTACAAAATTACATTTGTAATATATCCTGTTTATTCATACATGTGCCTGAAGAGTTAGATCATATAGAATGAAACAAATTTATTTCATTCTACAATATTTTGATTGTTTTCGCTTTACAAAAGCATATCAAGGGAAATAAATGAATGTAATTTGTGATCGAGTATAGCTGTACAGTTCAAATGGCTGTCAGACAACATAACATTGAGAAAGGGAAAACGTTAGTGATATCATGAACCAATCTAAGATAACTACCTGAAACCTGGAACCTCTAGACAGCCGTTTCGTCCTAGTAAGAAACTCCTCTGAAGTGTACATCTTCTACTCTCTTCTGTTGACAACTTCATTACACGTGATATAGTTGAAAGGTTAAGCGTTTGTGTGCAGGATAAAGGGACCTTAGTTCTGTTGCTGAGTTCTAGATCGTTAATGTACATTCCTGAAAAGCTTCTTACAAGGATGAAACGGCTTTCCAGTACTTCCAGGTTTCCATTTTTAGTCTGGCTAAAGTCAATTCATTATTTAAGTTCGGAAAACTTCAAAATCTCCACAAAATGATTTTAATGCAAATAATTTTGTTTACGATTAATTCCATCATGAAGATTAGATCAGTTTGCCGGGTAAAGCTTTGAAATTATGTAAGATGTGATGTGTGAGATCTCTGAAATATAAATTTCTCATATTAATCTACTAGTGGCCTATTGTATAAAAGATATATTTTATTGTTTGTAAAACTGTATTTTACAGTAACTATGGCCATATACATTTATGTATACTCGTATTCTTGATGCGATTTGTAATCAATATGCATTCACGTAGAATCACATTGTTAAAAAGAGATGTTTGCAACAGGAGCAGTGTAATGGGTCCATAATATGGTGAATTATTACAGTATTTTTATATATAATTAAAATCATGAGTCAATTGAAGCTAGACCATCGTGTAAAACCTGGGAGCACTGGATGGTCGTTTTGTGCTATTGGGGAACTCCTCAGCAGTAAAGTATTTGTTTAGTTTATGTCAAGTACATACCTAATAAAGGAATGTAGACGAAAGTAGTTAGTCATAAGATATTTTAGTCTTTCAAACGGTACTTAAAACCTATGTAGAAAGCTAAACACTGATAAACTGAGTTCAATCACGTATTATTGAGTTTAAGGGCTTTTTGGTTATGTATCAATGTAATTACTCTCTACATTAAAAGTTACTTTATGAAACTTGTCTTCTAAACACAATCTGCAGTTTATAAAGTCTCTTTTATTTTTCAAGGTACTTCGTTAGGTTACTGTAGTCAATAATTTTATCTGACCACCCAATAGTTATATACAGAATTCAGTATATATGTTTTCAGAAGTAAAATATTAGAAAGTATTTTGTGATATCTTAATAATGATCAGATGAAAGTATTTGGACCAGATTTCTTTACAGTCAAGCAGACTAATTGGTTATCTAAGGTCATTTCGTGATACAACTATATATATTCAGTGATTTTCATAAACCCTTTATACTACTAATGATAATCATGTACACACTGAAGTCCCACTGAGACTAGTGAAATTCAACCTTATAGTTCATAAGGCAATTACGTACCTAAATTAAAAATGTAAACTACTGAAACTGAAGGTTAGATGAGAAACTTGGAATTCTTCGATTTTATCCTTGGTATAGTCATAGTCACACACAGATGAGATATACCATACTCATTCGTTTTTCAGTGGTTGTCTAAAAGTGATATGTGATATAATCTTTACTAAATTGATTCATGTTACAGCCAATTGTCCTCAACAATTTAATCCATCCAATTTAGTTTTATTATATTTGGGAAAAAAGAAACCATTATTGATAATATCTCTTTGCTGCTTAAGCCCTAGATACCTGGTTTTGATTCTTCTATCTCAATGAGACAGCTTAATATTTTCAAGTTAAACAAAATACTCGTATTGTAATGAATAAAAACACGATTGGGGACAATCGAATGTATTTAAACACAAATTACAAACTATCTCACTAAGATCTGATAACCATACAGCAAAATAACAATCGATTGTCTCAATCTTCACTGTTTCTTCTGTAAATATCAATCCATCTTCTTTAATTTCATTGTTTATGCGTTTTCCTACCAATTGCGCTTCATTTCAGTTCTTTCATTATCGGTCTTTTGCTAAAATACATTCTATGTCTGACCATCACCATATACTACTTATGAGGATATAAGTGAACCACACCACAGTAGTAACAATAACATTTTTCAACAATAAACATTAGTTTAAACCATACTAAATCATTCGATATACATGATATGTTTGATTGTTAGTCATAACTACATTTGAAATCACAACAAAACAAATCAAATGAAGTGTTTAATTTCTGGACAAAATATAACCGAATACAGATGAATAAATAAAAGGAGTCACCATTTAAACAAACAAACAAAAACACCATTTAATCCATTAGTAAATTAACTGAAGATTTTGTAAACGTTTTATATTAATAATGAAACTTTTATTAAGATATTAGGTAGTTCTTTTGATTACTTACTTACTTCTGTTACCCCTCGTGATTCTTGTTATTACGTGAATATGTTTTATACTCATTAGAATACTGATTTGTTAATTACTTTGGGTAATTGGTTATGTAATTAATTGGTTAAATGAAACAATAAATGAATTACCATTATTCAATTGAAAGAATATCTGTTTATTAATTGTTCAACAAATAGTTGTGTGAAATGTAGATTTTCTTTTTTTATATGTAAAAGTGTACATTGAGTCTCAAAAGAATACATAAGTTTCAGATTTTAGTAGGCGGGGGGTTGTGGATATTATAGGAATTTCACATAGTTGAAATCATGAGTCAGTTCAAGCTAAACCACCATGGAAAAACTGGATACACTGGACGGCTGTTTCGTCCCATTGTGGGGCTCTTCAGCAGTGCGCATCCACGATCTCGCTTCGCGAGAATTGAACCTATCCGTCTTGCGCGCGAGCGCCACATCACTAGACCACTGAGCAGGCATTCAACGGTTTAATGATAAGGCTCGAATAAATGACTAGGTATAAATAATTATCAGTGGTAATTCATTGTGCAAGTAGGAAATCGTTTCATTTCTTGCAAACAGTCTACCACACATAGAATATAATGGTGT